GTCCTTCACTCTTCATATTCTTTGTCAATAATACAAGGCCCATTTGGATTCCCCATAGACTTTTAGTCAACCTCCATGCCTCTCTCTACTAAATATGGGGAATGTATGGCTGCTCTTGCACTCCATTCTGGGACTGTGAGAGATTGCAGTAGGGTGGATGGAGGATGGGCTAGGCTATTTCAGAACTTACTTTGACAATACTCATCCTGTACATACATATCCTGTACAATCTCTCTGAGATTTTGTGCCTGAGTTCCAGTTTTCAAGTTGGGACCTAGTTCTCCCTACTTTCAGATGGCTATCTGTTCCAGGGAGGATGGTCTCTACCAGTTCCCCTCAGGTATGATCCCTGGATGGGTAACTGTGAGCATCTCTTTTTCAAGATCCTGCACCAACTATACATGCTGTAAATGTTCTTCAAGCTCCTCAACTCCAGCTCAGAAAAGATTCATATCTCTTCTTTGTGTGGTAGAGATATGGCTTGTATATTATCATACGTTTTCTCTCCTCTATGGTTTATGTGATAAACTCTATGCTCTTACATGCTTCCAGGATTTGCCTTTGGAGAACTAGAAATTTTTTCTCTTTCACTGCCATTGTATTTTCCCATATCAAGAGTCTGTTTTGAAATTCAAAGTGAAGAATTTGACTTGCCAAATTCTACTCTTGCTGGGTTCTTGGGTATTTTCCCTTTCCTTGAATAAAAGGTTTAGTCTAAAGATCTAGTTTTAATGGTGAAAATGATGTAGGGTAGAAGGGAAATGCCAAGAAGTAAGAATATATCTGTCAATATTTTGAAATATTTTACAGCTACTTATATTTGAACTGAATGACTTAGGTGGTCTACAATAAAATTCTACTCTTTAGGGGGAACTGGGAAGAAGCTAGGCGCAGTTCTCAAGATGTTAACTTCAAATAGTTCTGGAAATCTACCATAAGAGGCAGTTTGTTCCTCCTTGGCTTTGAAAATATTGTCTATGTCATCCCCTTCTTTTCCATGATCCTCTGTAATCTGGGAGGGTTAGTTGGCAAAATCCCATACAGTAAGCAATATTCACTGCTACCTAGTGAACTGGAGCTACCTCCCTGGGGGAAGTGAAAAGAGCTGTGGCTAAAAATGTCAGTCTGGGATCTTAAAGCTCTACCAGAGAAACCGTAGGGAATGTTGTTCTCTTGGCTGGGGAATAGGTTGAATGATGGAATGTCTTTTTCCCAGCTCATTAATTTCCATGATTTGAGGAAGACAGACCTTAAAAGGAATGAAGAAAGTACAATTTTCAGGGAATGAAAGCGAGGAGTATTCTAATATTTTGAAGTGTTTTTGTGAGTTTTTAATAAATATTTGCTAGTGATGAGCTATCACACTTAAAAGAATCAATTAAATGCTTATATTATAATGGACTTAAGCCCCTCGTTATTGGGAAATGATTAAAAAGCTCCCAGATTTCTGAGTTCATAGTAGTAAACTTACATTTATCTTTCATAATAGTCATAGAATGCTTATGACAAATACAATGCAAATGGAGATGCTTTATTCCCAACATGGACTGTTGAACCAAAACTCACTTGAGTGTCACTATGCCAGGTATATATTCCCATAGAAAAGTGATTCATGACTAGTTGATGTATTATATTTATATGTTTATGTATATGAATGTGTATGTGTAGGCATGTGTATGTGTACACACACACACACATATGATTTTTGAAAATTGAAAGGTATTTTTACCCACTAAATAGAGTTTGATATTTTAATCTCTCAAACCATAATTTTACATCATGACGTAGTGGTTAAGAGCATGTGTGCAGGATTTGGATTGCCTTGGCTAAAACCATTAATTACCTGTGTGACCTTGGGCAAGGTCCTGAAACTTACTGTGTAGCAGTAACCTCATTTCTAAAATGAGGGCTATAACTGCACTTGCCCCATGGAGTGATTGTGGGGATTAAGTGAATTAGAACATGTCACTGTACAAAGTACAAAATAAATGTGATCTTTCATTGTAATCACTAGTGTGTACAAGGCCCATGCTAGGTGCTTTGAGGGATAAAAAAGACATCCCTTATATAGTTTACTATCTAGTAGGGAGCCTAAGCTATAGTCCCCTATAAAGTTAAATATGAATACCTGAGAAGAAAACCAACATTCAGCTCAGCAGCACAGATTAGCCTCTTAAATACAGAAGCCATGGGGGCTGGGTGACCTGAGCCAGAGCAGTGTCTTTATACAGCGCATTAGTCTCACATTTGTTTCTCTTCACCTGGTGTTAATCTCTTTGACATGATAAAAACAGGCTCCAGGCAGATAGTATAATAAATGCTGTTTGCAGATGCCCCGCCTGTTAATCCTGTGGTAGTTTAGCTATGGGTGAGCATTGAATGACATAGACGCTGATGCTGGATTAAGGCTCTTGACTACAGAGGCTGGCTGAGCTGTGAGTGCTCTGAGAAGTGGGCCAACTCGTCAAGGTCTATAGTTTATAGAGGTAGGGCAACCGATTCAGCTGAGCTTTTAAATTTATTTTGAGATTTACAGAGAATTCCAGACTGTGGTTTTCTAACTTGAGGAAATTCTGTACAAGGACTGGCACAAAATTGCATGTCTAATTGCCAAATTAATATTATAGTTAACAAATTCTCTGTGAGATCAAGGGCAGGGCTGCTTATTGTGATCCGGAATGATCACAGAAGGCCTTAGATAGAAGTGATTAGGAAAGGATCTCCAGTAACTATTTAAGGTAACTCTTGGATTAATTCTTTTTAAGTCAAATATTAACTCCCCTAATTTAACATTTAGATTTATCACTCTAGATTTTGATCTACAGACTGTCCCTGAATAGTGCCCATATCTAAAGATAATTTTTTGGCCAAATTATGAGTTTAGTACATTTCCATAATCTGAGTATGGGATTTTCATCTGTAAGATTGCTTCTGTGGGGAAAATTGGGCTATGCTGAATTTCATACAATTTATAAACTCATTTTTAAAAATTCTGCTTTGGTACTTTCACACAACACTTGTTTATTGAGTGCTTCTCATGTATTAGATACTGTTGTAGGCATGTATGAACAAAACAAAGATCCTTGCCTTCATGGAGCTGCCATTCTAGAGAGGAAAGACCGTTAAACAATAAATATAAAAATAATTGGTATAGTGTGTTGGAAGGTGGTGAGTGCTAAGGAATAAAATCAAAGTAGTAAAGGTTAAGAGGGATGGGGATGGGTGGTGATTTTAAATAGGATGGTCATTGAAAAGGTCATTTAAGCAAAATATGAAGGGAATTGGCCAAGATGATCAACCCTATCTGGGGAAAAGCCTTTAAGACAGAAGAAAGGGCCAGTGCATAAGCCCTGAGGTAAGAGTTTATCTAATGAGTTTGAAGAACAGCAAGGAGGCCAGTGTAGCTGGAAGGGGACAGGAGAGACAAGAAGATGAGGTCAGAGAGTTAAATTGGCTAGTGGTGGGAAGGGAGCATGCCAGATCACGTAAAGCCTTGCAGGCTATGGCAGAACCTTTGGGAAAGTTAGCAGTCACTTGTATCAGGCTGGCCTAAAGTAAGGCCTGCCTGTATTAAAATAACTCTTCCTTTTCCCTCTCTCCTATACTTGAACTTCCATGTGGGGGATACAGGTCAACTGAGATCTTATTGAAATTCAAGTTATGATTTAGTAGGCCTGAGGTGGGGCCTAAAATCCTGCATTTTTAACAAGCTTCCAGGTGATACCAGGTTGCCAGTACACAACCACACATTGAGTAATGAGAATAAAGAGGTATCGAGCTCCCAGGGGCTTTGGGGCTTACCTCTCCATTAGTTGGTTGCAAGGACCTTCTTGTTCCCTTTGAGCCTGAAATGACAACTTCAAAATATTTTTGTTCACAATTTCATATTGGTCATAACCTCACTATTTCATGGTCCTATCACTAGCCTAGAAAGAGCATGGTCCAGGGCTCCCTCCAGTAACACAAGATAAGTTGTCTGGCTATTGCCAGGCAGGATCTAAGAAGTTTCTAGGGCCTCCTCACTGCCACTTGGGGAAGCTCTGCTTCTGAACCTCAACCTGGGAAACCCTGTTCTGCTCCTTGAAAGATAATTAAATTCTCTGACCACATTCCTGGCTTACTTCAATTACAGGAGTTCTGACTTGTAGTGTTCATTCCAGTCCTATACTTTGAAATGTAGCCCAGTTCTACAAACTAGGCCTGAAGCAGCTAGAAGACTAGGGTGATGCTCCTAGACTGAAGAGATGCTCTGCTGATGTCTAACAGGCAAGACTGGTCTTCTTGACAGCTACTGTGGTAATTCAAACTGAGCAGGCCTGGAAGGACTAGCCACTGTGACCATAGCATGGGCTGTGAGTCGGGCAGGCTTGGGTTTGAATTGTGCTTCCATCCCTTACTGTGTAATCTCAGGAATGTTCCTTGGTGTCTCAGAGACAGTTTTCTCATCTGGAAAATGGGAATAAGGATACTTCCCTCATTTATTGACATAATGCATATAAAGTACTGATTAAAATGCCTGGTACATAAAGCACAAAATAGTAATTATTTTTATAATTACCATGGATGTCTCGCCACCTATAAAATCATGTTGTGGCCTGGCATTAAGGTACCCGCCCTGTTCTTTGGAGTTAAGGTACCAGGATGAATCCCTCAGCAAAGGCTTTCATAGAGGAGACACAGAGGCCAATAGCAATTTCATCATGACAGATGTCACAAGAGATAATTGAAGAAGTGAAGACGTTTCGTTTGGGAAGTAGATGATGGGGGGACGGACGTGAGACTGTCCGCAGTGTGTTTTGTATAAGAGGAATCAGATGTGTTCTGTGAGACCACGAGAGCGCAACTGAGACCAGAGGGAAGACATTACGGGAAAGTACAAACCTCTCTGACACAGAGAACAAGGCAGGGTGGGATGGGCGTGGGGGTGTCTGTGAGGGTCGGTGGGTGCGGAGCTGCGGCGGCGGAGCCAATCACAAGGCGCATCCCGTCCTCGCGCGACCGCACAGTCGTACAGCCGTGACGTCACTGTTGCCATGGCGAGGCCCGATGGGAACGGACAGCGAGCGAGCGGCAGGGGCCGCGGAGGACGAGCGATGCTTTGAAGCCGCGTCCGTTAACACCATGAGCGGCCGAAGTAGGGGTAGAAAGTCTTCCCGCGCCAAAGGCCGGGGCAAAGGCCGCGCCAAAGCCCGAGTCCGCGCTACTCCTGACCACGTCCCGCGCGACCCGGATTCTCCACAGTGCCAGAGGCTCGGGGAGGAAACCCAAGCGGCACAGGTGCAGGCTGGCGCGGGTTGGGGTGGCCCGGAAAGTGCTGCGCCCGCTCCGTCCCGCCGGCTGGGGGAGGAAGGTGACTGCCGGCTCCCCCTGGACTGTGGCCTCGCGCTCCGGGCCCGGGCTGCGGGGGATCGCGGGTACCCCGCGGACAGGCCCAGCCTGGGGAACGCCACATTCCTCTCGGAGCGCCTAGCAGCAGACACTGTCTTCGTGGGAACCGTGGGAACAGTGGGGAGGCTGAAAAATGCCTCCCGCGTTGGAAATCGGCGTGGCCCTACTGGGAAGAAGGCCCCAGAAACCTGTAGCGCGGTGGCGAGGTTGCCTCAGGCCGTAGCTGGTGGAAAGCTGAAGAAAGGGACCACTGGGGAGTGTGCCTCCACCCCAGTGGTAGAGGAAAAGAAGGTGGAGAAGGACGCAGGGTCAGAGCCCCCGGCGACAGATGGCAGCATGGATACCCTGGAGAACGTCCAGTTGAAGCTGGAGACCATGAACGCCCAGGCAGACAGGGCCTACCTTCGGCTTTCCCGCAAGTTTGGGCAGTTGCGGCTGCATCACTTAGAGCGCAGGAACCTCCTCATCCAGAACATCCCAGGCTTCTGGGGGCAGGCTTTTCAGAACCATCCCCAATTGTCATCCTTTCTGAACAACCAAGATAAAGAAGTACTCAGCTACCTGAATAGCTTGGAGGTGGAAGAGCTTGGCCTCGCCAGATTGGGCTACAAAATCAAGTTCTACTTTGGGCGTAACCCCTACTTCCAAAATAAGGTGCTCATCAAGGAATATGGTTGTGGCCCTTCAGGCCAGGTAGTGTCTCGTTCCACTCCAATCCAGTGGCTTCCAGGGCATGATCTCCAGTCCTTAAGCCAGGGGAACCCAGACAACAGCCGTAGCTTCTTTGGGTGGTTTTCAAACCACAGCTCCATTGAATCTGACAAGATTGTTGAGATAATCAACGAGGAACTGTGGCCCAATCCCCTGCAGTACTACCTTATGAGTGAAGGGGCCAGAGCAGAAAAAGGAAAGGAAGGCAGGCAAGGTCCAGCAAGGCAGCCAACAGAGACCCCTGAGTCTGGGGTAAATAAGTCCAATTGATCCTGCCCAACTCTCCCTGCTCCCTCCAGCTGCACCTGTGCCTGGCTGACCACGTTTGGCTGTCTGCCTTCTCTTCACGTTGGCCTCTGTGCACTGTCTTTACTTTGGACTTCACTTACAAGAATATGGAATGTATGATCATGTTCTTTTGCCTCCCCATGGCCTTCTCGATTTTCTCACATTAATGTCACATGTTATGTGATCTCACCCCTACTGTTTCTATTTAAACACACATACTTAAGAGGTGTGCTGCCTTTATCTACATCGCCTGGGCCCTGTTCTTGGTTCTGGCCTTTCCCACCTGTCTCTAACATGGACAGACACTCATGAGCCATCCTTCTGGAGGACCAGTGCATCCTCACGTTCGGCTGCCTCATGGCCAGTGACTTGCTGGGTTTCATGTTCATGCTGGCTGTGAATGTCATCTATGGCAAGCTTTTCTGTTACCACTGCAAAATGAAGTTGGTGCACATGGCATTGGCCATCAACCAGAACTCTTCCATGGCACTGGCTTTATCAGCTGAGGTGCAGCCTACTGGCTTTGGCAGAGGTGCATGCCACCCTGATGGACATGCAGCAGAATGGCACTTGGCGTCTGGGCATGGATGAGGTTAAGTGTGAGAAGCAATGTTCCATGTGTTCTCTACCATCATGCATCTCTTTCTGACTCTGGGCCTGTGTGTGGGTGAACCTGTATCAAGGTTGTACCATGCCCCAGCTCTGTTAGGCCTTTGAGTTTTGTCAAGGTTGCTGTCAGCCCCAGCTGGCTTCCTGGTCAACAAGGACCTCAAGAACTGCCTGTGGATCCAGGCCCCCCACCAGTGCATGAGATACACATGAGGCACATCTACCTTCCCCAGCCTCCCAGGAACCCTAATGGCTGCCAGACTGATGGCAGGCTATGTGTGAACATGTGCTCACTGTCATCCTGCGGTGGCTCCAGGTGAGGGTGGGGACTGGGCCCATGTAAGAATTAGGTACTTTTGTCAACTCCCCTTACCCCTTCTCACACATGACCAGAGTGCTATAGTGGGGTTGCTGGGGAAGGTATTTCTGATCTGTGGGCCTGTGTCTACTTCATCTCATACCTCCATACCTCCTTTCTAACATCCCTGTCTTCCCTCATCTTTCTTTCCTCCCTTCCTATCTTGTCGTCCTAGCTTCCTCTATCCCCTCTTCTTTCTTTTTTTCTTTCAATAGTACCACAGTTCAGAAAGAGAAAACTGAAAAACCAAGGTTTTCTGTGTACAGCAGTGAGATACTTGGGGACTTGTTACACACACTCACACACAGGTCTGAAAGAGGGTAGAGGAAGCCAGAAAGCCAAGTGGATCTGTGATTAGACCCTGGTCCCTCCCAACTCCAGAGTTCATTCCATAATTCTGAGGTTGAAAATTCTTTTCATGGCTGTGCATCTACTAGAATTATAAGCCACACAATATCACTCCTGTGCGCTCCACCAATCTAAATGTTTATTTCCTTTAAAATTCAGCTGAAAGTTCCCCTGCCCCTTAGAGCTTCCCCAGTGGTTCTGTTGTCCCTGCCTGCCCTAGCCTCGCATTAGAACATGGGCACAGACCACACCTGGGCATTAGCTTGCTGCCCAGGGTCTGTATCTCCAGTTCCAAGGCAGCAGTGTTACAGATCAGGATTTACTACAGTTACGACTTTTTTTAAGTGCCCTTAAGGCCCCATTGCCTCCTGTTCTTTCTTCCTCTGTGGTATCCTGTGGTCATCTGGACCCTCATTCCCCAGCTGTCCCACCCTCAGCAGTCCTTTGCTCTCTTTGTTTCTACCTTCAAATGCTCATAGGAATAGACTCTCTTCTCCAGCATTGGTAGTTCAGGGCTTTCCTCTGAGTCTTCATTATGGGGGTGGAGGGTGAGGAGTGGTGGTGGTGGCAAAATCTGCTCTGGATCTCCAAGGTTCATTTCCAGTGGGTGTGAAAGTTGGGCTGGGCCTTCCCTGCCTAGCTTGCCTGTGCCTCTTCCTCATCCCTAACAGTGGGAAAGTAGGACAAGCTAAACTTGCCCTCCCTTTTCCTATGGAAGACCTCATTCTGGGTTTCTCAAGGGCTGGGGAAGCCTTGACTCAGAGTCAGAGAGGGTGTGCCAGGTGGGCGAGCTGGAGTGGACGTGTGGAGCAGGAGCAAACCTGGTGTGGGCTGGGCCTGGGGAAGCAGAAATTGCTTGAGAAGCCTCAGGGAGAGTGCCTCTCCCTCACTGAAGGAGGGAACTGGGAGGGACTTTCCCCAGAATTAAAGGGGTTACAGGCAAATATGATGCCTCAGTGACGGTTTGTCCAAAGTTTTGTCCAATCTCTAGCCCATCATTATTGGGTTTTATAAATCACAGAAACAAATGAAAACTAGAATAATGTTACATTAGATGCTTTCTCTTTTGTTCTAGGTGTGGTCTTGCATATGTGGAAGATTAATTCTATATGCTGCTTATTTTGCCATAAGTAAAATCTTACCACCTTCCCCATTTTTGCCTAATGGGAGTTGTATAGGTCTGCTTTTTTGTGGTGTTTTGTGTTTTAAACTTCCTTGCTCTCTTTTTTGGACATTTTCAGACATGCACAGAAGTGGAGAGGATGGTACCTGGACCCCATGTGCCCATCACCTGGCTACATCAGTTACCAGTTATGATCAACTTGGTTTCTTCTGTATCTCCTACTCCCCACCTGTATTGTTTATTGAAAGTCCAAGACACTGTGCCAATTCAACCACAACTACTTTGGGAGTGATAGTTGTGGGTGCACTATCATTATCACATCAGGTCTGCTTTTTGCTTTTAATGTTAACTAATGAAATTTCACAGATGGACCTTAGGAGTGCCAGTCTTCAGAATTAACAAGGAGTCTCAAAAAGAGATGAAGGGGCTGTTCCCTTTCCTTTGCATCCACCAAAGGAGAGAAAAACTTGTTGTGTTGTAAACTCAAAGATTGGTATGATAAGATGCTTACTTGAGACCTTTCACCAGAATATCAGTCTTTTTATCCTTTGTAGAATGGAGACTTTGTGTGACTATCAAAATTATCAGCTTTTCCTGCTCTCATAACTCTGGTCTTACAAGTATAATTTGGAAATTGTTGCTGTGTTCTGTGAAAATAACCTCCCCCAAATAATCACTAACTGGTTGTCCTACTTGGTAATTTGACACCCTAATAACAAAGCAAATATTTCTTTGTTCCTAAACAATATAAATAGTTGTAAGCTTGTATGCATGATGGAAAAATAAAAGCCTTTTTCTCTGTTATATTTTTTTATTTTCCAAAAAGAATTGGAAGGTTAAGCAGAGGATGGGTAGCTGAGGGGATGTATGCATTGGCTGAGCTGAGTGACTCCTAAGCCTCAGGCCCTTAAGTGACTAGCTGTGTAACAATATGTAAAATTCTGATTCCCAAGCTCTCACCAGAGGTTGAGATTCTGTGGTTCTGGGAGGAATCCAGGTAGTCTTGTTTTTAACAAGCTTTCTAGGTGATTCTAGTGAAATTCCATTATGTCTCAAATTTTAGAGTAAAACTGAGTTGTGTGGGGAATCCTGTTAAAATAGGAGATTTGATCTGGTAATCTGGAGTGGAACCTGAAATTCTGCATTTCTAACAAACTTCCAGGTGATGCCAATGCTGGTGGTTTGTGAACTATATTTTGAGTAGTGAAGGAAGTGACCTTCAAGGTCCTTTCAAACAAGAATAACATGCTCAACTTGGTTGACACATTAGAATTATCTGGGAAGCTTAAATAAATATGCTGCTAGAGCTCTACACAAATACCAGCTAAATCAGAATGTGGGAAGGGGTTGGTTCAAGGACAGGTAATTTAAAAACATTCCACGTAGTCCTGATTCTTAGCCATAGCTGGTAACTAGGGTCTCTGATGCTATACGTAACAGATCTATAACAAGGATCATTTTCCATTAACCAGACAACCAAATGCCACATAAAGCTGTCCAGCAAAAAATGGTTGGAAAAAGTTAGAAGTGGGTTGTTAAGGGACAGGAAAACAAAACTGGACTATGTGATGAAGAGCTTGAATCAATAAATGCAGTGTTCAGGGGATAGTACATACTGAAATGTCCAGTGAATAAATGATTAAGTTTATATTCAAATAGCTCAGGGATTAGCTGGTAATTAAATTTGTGAAGTGGGCCAAATATGTTTCATAAGGACATACATATTTAGTTTGTTTAGAGTTCCCGTAACGGTACTACAGGCTGGGTGGCTTAAACAACAGAAAATTTTTTCCTCAGTTCTAGAGGTTCTAGAAGTCAGATCAAGATGTTAGCAGGGTTAATTTCTTCTGATGGCCTCTTTCCTTGGCTTGTAGATGGCTGTCTTCTCTGTATTCATATGGTCATAACCTCTACGTGTGCCTGGGAGCTGTGGAAAGACGGAGAGGTGGTGTGTAAATTAAGGAAGCTGTTCTGTAGCACCATATTGTTTACTGGTGGGCAGTGGAGACCTAGTGTTGCTATATCTGCAAAGGGGAATGGGGGAAATCATGATCTTTATGTGGAATCTTCCAGTTTCAAAGGTTTTCAACTAAAAATAAAAAATCTGATACCCAGAGCCTTGCTATTAGCAATAAGTGGGGTGCAGAAGGATGTGGAGAGCAGCCTCTTCTCCAGTCTTGAGCCTCCTCTTGGGATTTGTGCAGAGTCCTTCACTTACAAAGTGGGAGGGGCCCTGCCCAGTTCAGCTCATGCACTTGCCTCCATTTCCCAGGGCCCCCTTTCATACACCTCTTTTCAGTTCTTTGGAGAGCCCATATGATCTAGGCGCACCACCTGCCATGGGCTCATTCATTTATTGCCTCCTGCATGTGCCAATCTCTGTTGTAGGCATTAAGAGATACAGCTATGAAAAAACGCAGCTTTGAATTCTGCCCCCTCCTAGGTTTCAGCCTTGTCTCAGCTTTTGCCTCAGAGTACCAGTCACTCTCTTTTTTTCCACTTTTCCTACATGGGGTGCCTCGTGCTTTAGATTCACATGGTGGCTAAAGGAAGCCTCTTTTCACCCTCTGGCCTCCAGGTCAGACTTAATGAGACAATTAGGCTTTTAATAACCCGGGGAGAGAGGGCTTCTTGGAGTAATTCTCATTTTGCTAAGAGTCCCTGGCCCTTTTCTCAATTTGGAGTTTTATTACAAAAGGCCTTTTTCTGATTTCTGTATTTGTGACAATTATTGGGCTTTTTTGGAAGTGTGTTGGGTTTGCACTATGTCATAGGTGGAGAAGGAGAGAAAATTAAAAGTTCTTGCTACTCTTAGTTTATGGAAGTCTCTATCAACTTGTGACTGTTTCTCCTTAGGCTTTGGACTCCCTTCTGGTCTACTCCACTGTTTGCAACAAGGGAAGGAGGCATACTGCCCTGAGCTAGCCTCACCTAAGGAGGAAACTTTGCCCTCATTTGCCTCTCTGAAGATTGTGGTAATTCCTTCCACTCCTTGAGATCCTCGGCCTTAGTGGGCCACTGTTGCTGATGGTTGGGGTGATATCCTTCAGGTACTAGGGCAGCGAAACAGCAGAGAAGCCAGGCCGTCCCGTCTATAGTTTCTATCTCTCTCTGTCCTTAGAATCTTCATTTCTGCTTTTGGAATCTTCGACTGTATTTCACTTTTAGGCTTACAATTCACTTCTGCTGATTCATTTTTACCTGAAACTCTGACGTTATGTTAGTTCTGCTGCTGTATCCCAGATCAGCACTCTCTGGTCAGGTATCCAGTTACTGACCCTCCAGGGCTTGAATCTTGAATTCTTCCTCCTCTCCCTGCCTTCTATCAACTTGGTCCTCTGTTAAGTTGGACAAATAGAAGGCAAAATGGTTTCTATCTGAGTGACACTTCATAGTTTACAAAGCACATTCACTTACATTATTTCAATTATAACAGCAATCCTAAAAGAAGGCTCAAAGAGTTAAATTACGCGACCAAAATCACACAACCAGTAAGCGGTAGAGCCAGGTCTCAAACTCAGGTCTTCTGATTGCAAACTCCATCCATACAGGTGATGATGGTAAAATGAGGTCCAAAGCAGATATCTGGCACTATGAATCTCAGCACTTCCTTCCACCCAATCTTCCCACAGTGCATCATAACCCTCAGCCCAGCACACTGGTCAGTCACTGCCAATCAGTGACACTTCCCATATCAACAGGAACCTTCTGAACCATCCCCAACCCCAGCACGCTGTCAGAGCTCAATTAGGAGCAGGACTGACTCAGACTGGGTGACTCAAAATGGTGGCCGAGGTTTCTTATAACTAGATATGTATGACTTGCCGAGGCTGAGTAAGGAGGTTTTTGGCCAAAAGTATCAATGCCTGAATATGAATGATTTGGAAAAAATAATTTTTCTCCCATAAGCAGAAGTCTTGTGACAGGAAGATGCAGGCTTGCCTCAGTGGTTCAATGATTAAATTAGAGCTCTGTGTCCACCTCTTTGCTTCTCTTCTCCTGGCTCTCCCCTCATAATTCCCGAGCTCCAAATATCACATCTGCACCCAGCTGAGCTTAAAGTCAGGCAGGAAGGAGGAGAAGGGGAGTTTCTCACAGGAGTCTAGCAGAGAGGACAATCTTCGCTGGTAGTCCCTGATAGATTTCAGAAGACCTCAGTCAGGTCTTTTGGGCCAGAAATGGGTCACACTCCCACACTCCTCTCCCAGGAAATCTAGCACTTCTCAGCACCTCTCAGGGGAGTGTGGTTCTGCCATCAAGGAGTAAGGAGACATCAAGGGGCTAGAAATTGATGGGAGATTAAGTTTAGTCCCTGCAGGTCCATTCTTTCTGGGATGATGTGGGTATGCTGCCAACATGGAACACCACATCATGTTTGGAGGTACCGTGCATCTGTGCCTCCACCAGCTCCCCCAGGGGCCTCAGGCAAGACAGCTCAGCCTGTGCTGGGTGTTCTGGGTTCTCATCTCCTCCACTGCATGGTAAATTATTTTCCAGCCTGACAATGCCTTTTTGGTTTTCCTACTTCCCACAGGTCTGAGCTCAGGATTCACTCAACATTTGTGGTAGGTGGTCAATAAATGCTAGTTGAGTGAATGCAATAAGTCAACAATCTTTCTAAAATGTAAATTTGGTCATGTCAATCACCTGTTCAAAACCTTCGGGAGTCAAGTCCAAAATCCTAAAAGGCTCATAACAAGCCCTCTCTTATCTGACCTTGTATTTTTTTTCTTTCAAACATTCTATTCTGAAAAATTTCAAATATACAGAAAAGTTAACAGAAAAGTGCAACCTACTATAAAAATTCCATGATTGTTAACTTTTTGCCATATTTATTTTGTCTGTATGTAAACAAAATTGCTGAACCATTTGAAAATAGGTTGCTTACCCCCTTAAGACTCAGCATGCATCTCATAAAAATAAAAATAAGGTTACTCTCCTGTATAACCATAAGACCATTATCAGAATGCAGAAAATTACAGCTCCAAAATACCATCTAGTATCCAGGTGATATTTAGATTTCTCTATTGTTCCCAAGATTATCTTACAGTATTAGTTTAAAAATCAAGATCTAATAATGTTCAGGCATAGGATTTGGTTGTTATCTCTAGTTTTTAAAAAAATGAAGTATCATTGATATACAATCACATGAGCAACATTGTGGTTACTAGATTCCCCCCGTTATTAAGTCCCCACCACATACCCCATTATAGTCACTGACCATCAGCGGAGTAAGATGCTATAGAATCAC